CTCTCCGTGGATGGTCGGCCGGAGCATTTTTGGAGATTACGCCCCTGCCCCCGGGAGCCAAGGGATCCCCCCGGAGCTTCTCAGGTCTCTCAGTGCCCTTGGCTCTTCCTGGGGCGCAGGGCTTAGTGTCCACAGCAGTTTAACCCACGTACCCGTGGGCCACCGGGGAGGTTCTGCCAGTCCACACGTGGCTCAGCTGACCTTAATGGCTCACCCGCGTGTCCGCAGCTGTGGCTCAGCTGCAGCCGGCTGGTCCTAGGTGAACACACCAGGGACCCTTTGCCGGGTGTTGGGGATCAGATTTACTGTCTCGGAGGCTGCGGAGGCCTCTGAGGGGTTTTCGCTTCAGTTTGGGCTTATTCCCATCTAAGCTGAGCTGGGATGGCTGCAAAAACCCAGAGACGGGTGTGAATGCTATTCCAGGCCGGCCGGCACAGTCGCTATTGTGCACCCAGGGATGCTGCTGGGGCGCTGGGCAGGGACTCGCGGCCCTCCCGCGGGGTGGTTATACGCGCACTGGCCACAAGAGGGCAGCAGAGAGTCGTCAGTTCAATGGGCGCCGTGGCTGGAAATGTGAGATCGGGATCAACCCAGATAAGGATTTTTTAAAAAAGATTTATTTGTGTTATTCATGCATACAGAACTGCGGTACAGGTCAGAGGTGCAGGGGCAGTGAGAGGATTCACCAGAGACACGGCGGGGAGCAGAACAGGCTGACTGACTTAAGTACCCTGCTGAGGGGAGCAGCGGGGAGACAGGAGAGGTCTGCCGCCATGTGGGTCACCCCCCGGGGCAGGTGGGGATCGAACTCATGCTGAAGTGGCTTTAGCTTCTTAGTGCTGTGCTGTAACCCTCTGGGCAACCAGGGAGGGCCCCAGATAAGGATTTTTAAAGTGTCCTGTGTGGAGGACAGAATCGCTCTGCTCCGAAGCTTATTCACCTGTCTGCAAATGTTCCTGTCTCTGCTCTGTCTCCTGTCTGCTCTGGGCCCCTTCATGGACCTGAGACCTGTGTCCTCACACAAGAACCGGCTCTCAGACCGGCTGCACAGTGGTTTGATGCTCTAGTGTCATCATCTTGAAATTGTTTGTCATTTTTAAAGTTGCTGTGCATTTTTTATTTTGCACAGCAGATTATGTAGCCGGCCTGTTTTTCACACTTTGATTGTCCTGGGCTTGGTGTTAAGCTTCATGGGATTGATACCAAATATTCACCTGATAGTGTGCTGTGCATGATTAATATGTTTGAATTAGTATGAAAAACTACCTGTTTATGAAGACAACTGACAGACATCCAATTACTTGTAGTTCTGACTAGTCACAGATACAGTGAGCCGAGCGCTGAATTCAGGCTGATGTCCACCCTGCAGAGATGCTCTGGCTGGCTGTGAGCCCAGGGCAAGCTAGGGACATTCCAGGCAGGCACTTCAGGAAGTTAAAGAAGCTCCAGAGATAAGAGCAACACATTCCCAAGGGAACAAATCAAAAGCCCCAGGACCAGGGGGAACAGTACATTCCAGAATGAGAATGATAAAAGCATGTGGAGGTAAGTGCTGGGACAGAGTATTCTGGGCACAGAGACAACAGGGCGGAGACTGAGACCACCGAGAAGGACCCAGGGAAAGGTGAGGATCCCCGAGGCTCGGCTCCACTTCGCCTCCCTGCCCCTCCCTGGCCTGGGTCACCGGCCTGGAAGCCCCACTTTATTTCTAGTCCTTTTCTCCTCAATAAACGTTTCTTTTCTCTAAATGAACTTGCCTCCACACTTGCTTGTCTAGCATCTGGGAAGCCCCTGCTGTGGCTCCGTGAGACACCAGCCCGTGTGGCCCAGTGGGGGCCTCAGCGCGACCCTGCAGCCTGGGCGCCGGTCCCGGCTGGGAGTCTGGGCCTGAACCTCCGATACTTGGTATCAGGCAGTTTGTCCATCTACTGCCACTTGTAGGGGCCCTTGACAATGGATCTGGTCTTGGCCTTGACCCCAAGGACCCCCTCACCCCCCCAACGTGGAAAGCTCACCTGTGTTTTCATTCCTGGTGCCACGCAGATGGACACACCTGGGCTTTGGGCCCCAAGACCTGAACTGTGATGACCGCCGGTCTGACCTTGACAGAACCTCCGTCCCGCTGAGCCTCAGCCCCATAGACGCAGCCCTCTCCTCGCTCCAGGCTTGTCAGGCAAGTGGAGATGTTGGTGGTGGACAAGCTGCCCCCAGGGGCTGCATGCTTGATGGGGAGCTTCGAAAGGGCCCCCCTCACCCCCCGCTCACTCTCGCCCACCAGTGATGGAAGGCTGGGCCCATGCGGGGTGGGGACCTTCTGGGCCGTCAGGGCTATGAAGACACACCATGAGCTTCCTCCATGAGCAGGGTTGCCATTGGGCAGGAGACCCCAAGTTCGTGGTAAGAGAGAGAAGGTTTTTTGCAGCTGTGGAGGGTGAAGGAGCTGGGGAGGAGTTGCTGCTCAGCCTCCCACCTGGTCTCTGATACTCTAGGTCAGGAGGCCGTCCCTGATTGACAGCCTGTTGGTTGCAGGGTGCGAGGCGAACATTTTGGAAAATCAGTCAGGAACTGTCACCCCACCTCTCATTGTGTCCCTGCACTGTCCCTATTGAGTCACCTCCGGCCTCAATGTTGCCCTCATGGGAAAGTAATGTCCAAGCAGGACACAGGAAATCAGAGTCAGTTCTTGGCTTCTGCTCTCATAGGTTTGAGTCCTGAAAGATGTTGGGAGGGGGTGGTACAATGGGACGGTGAAAGGTGACCTGGCAGGCAGACTTCGTGATCAAGCTGTGGCTTTCCTGGGGGTGCCCAGAATGTGGCTGCTCGTGTGGCTGGCAGGAGCCTCCCTGTGCACCTCAGGTGGCCAGGTAGGTCCCAGAGGCATCTGGGAACAGAGGCGACCGGGCCTCCAGTCTGGACGAAAACCCAGAGAGGGTCAGAGTCCCCATCAAACATGGCTCCTGAAGCAGCTGGACGGCCGGAGTGAAACCAGGGCTGCCCTTCCCAAGGGCATTGCCTGCTGGGCTCCGTGGGCCTGGTCAAGCAGAGCAGGCACCCAGCCCGGAGAGCCCAGTGGGCGGGGATCCAGCCCCTGGCCAGGACAGTCTGTCCCGGAGGGGACTGGCCAGCCCGTCAGACCTTTGGAGACGACTCAAGCAAGCATGACAGCCAAGTTCAGGAGAGGGGGTGGGGGTGGAGGCCACAGCGAGCACGTGGGCCCACAGGGCTCAGAGGCCGGGCGGAGCTCATGGCCAGGAAGCTGGCTGTCCAGTTGAGCGGAGTGCGGCTCTGTTGCAGGGGAGCTGGCAAAAGGAGCCCCAACACTGGCTTCCTTGGGGGCCCATCCTGTGCCTAACATTCCAGGGTCTGCTAGGCCTGGCTGAGGAGCTGCTGTCCTGGTTTCCTGCCTTCTTCCCACAGGCCCCGAGCCCGGAAACATCCGGGGGTCTTGCGTCACAAGGGCCAGGCACACGGCCCCCTGTACTCGCTTGCTGGTGCACTTGGGGTGCATTTGACACCCCTCCGTGTGGGGCCCTGCCATCTGGACTGCACAAAGGGTCCCCGCCCTTGCGTTTGTGGCTTTCACCTTGGCTTCCCGTAAACATGGAGGCCTGCGAAGGTCTTGACCCTCAGGCCCCTGCCAGGCCAACAGAATCAAATCAGCCCAGGCCTGGGCACGAGCGTCTCCGCACGAGCGTCTCCAGAAGCCACTCAGCTGATGCCCTGGGGACCCAGGAAGGCAAGGCCCCTCAGCTCGTGGGGCCTGCCGGCCTCTGTGGCTTGTTTCTTTCATCCTTCTTGCCTTTTCTTATTAGCAGTTGTTATTTTCATTTTCTGTCCTAGAGCAGCATACAGCGGGGTGTGTGTGTGTTGGTGGGGGAAGGGGGGTGTGGGCGGCGGCTGCAGGCAGGCGCAGTGGGCCAGGAAGGAGCGTGTGTCACGGGAAAACATGCCATTGCTGCCTGGGGACCAGCGGGTGGCTGGCAGTGAGGCCTGAGAAGCCCCTTGAAGGCCAAGGTCTCCAAAGTTCCACCAACAACTTCGGGTAACAGCCCCAGTCTGCATCTCCTCCACATGGATGCTGATAGGGGTCTTCCGTGTGCCCTCTGCAGCTGGGGGGGGGTACACTTGGGGCTCCTGGGACCTTCCTCAGGGCTAAAACCTGAGGCGTCATGGTGTTGACAGGAGAAACCCCCATGGAGAGAGACTATCTGGGCCTCTCTGGTAGCACAATGGGTTAAAGCGCAGCAACACGAAGCTGTCTGCAGCCACTGCAGCGGGAGTTCGATCCCCGCCCCGGAGGTGACCCACAGGGCGCGGCAGACCTCTCCTGTCTCCCCGCTGCTCCCCTCAGCAGTGTACTTCTCAGTCAGGCTGTTCTGCTCCCCACTTTGTCTCCGGTGAATCCTCTCAGCCCCTGCACCTCTGGCCTGTACCCCAGTTCTGTGTGCACAAATAAATAAGACTTAAAAAAAAAAGAGAGAGAGCATATCCCAGCTTCCTCCCCCTTCTGGAGCTCTCTGGGGTTTGTGCTATGCTGCCCTCTTCTGGCCACTGGTGCTGACCCCTGAGGCCACCACCAACATGTCCATGCAAGCTGTTCTCCCCTGACGCCCTTTCCCCTCCTCTTCCAGCTGGGGGTGGGGAGGCTTCACACTAGACCCCTGGGGTTCCATTACTAGGGGCACACACACTGCGCAGTGCTGTATTTTCTCGGGGAGACACCGAGCGGCTCCAGAGTCCCCGCAGCAGCGCAGGGGTGCCTCCTTGCTCCTGGGCTCTGTCTTCGCCTTGCTTTTCCTGAGGAGGGTGGGCTAATCCAACCCAAGACACAGCCACTCGTGGTCTCCAGAAGAACATTTATTCCCCAAGTTGAGGCCAGATGTGTGTCAGCTTCTGTCCCTGGCTGTGCCCTACCCACAGGTAACTGCCCAGTCTCCGTGAGAATTCACCTCTTTGGCCCATAAATGAGCCCAGGAGAAACCCCCGACTGGGCCCAGGGTGCCGAGGCCGGGAGAAATCCCGACTGGGCCGGGGGCGGCGAGGCCGGGAGAAACCCCAACTGGGCCCAGGGTGGCGAGGCCAGGGGGCCTCCTGCTCACAGCTCGACGTGCTCGGTGTGTGGTGGCTTCTGTGCCGCCTGGGCCAGTAGTTGGGTCCAGAAAGTCACTTCCTCGTCTCTCAGCTTCTGGGCTGCCTGGGTGGTGGCTCCAATCTGCAGGTACCCTTCCTTCTGGTCATATGCTGGCCAGTGGGGCAGCCCCTCCCCGTTGGGGTTCCTGGGGACAGAATCAAACACAGCTCCCTAGATCTGCTGTGTGCTCCCAGCCACCCCTGAGACTGGCAGGGACCCCTGACCCCCGCCCACCTCCAGGCACGGGGAACACACCACTTCCGGGGAGCCTGTCCAAACAGGAGACTCATGTCAGAGGTCAGGGTCAGAGGTCACACGGCCAGGAGTCTGACCATCCAACAGTCACAGCAACCCCTTCCAGTGGCTGTGCTCTGAGCCCCCCGACTGCCCCCAGCACCTCTGCCACCAGGCTCACCCAGTCCGAGCGAAGTTGGCCCAAAATTTCATCACCATCTTGCTGAGCTTGATTTCTTCTTCAGAGGCGCCCTCTGTGGGGAGGAAGAAAAAATAAAGTCTTGCTACTCGAAGCGTGTTTCCTGGGTGGGGGCAGGAACACTGAAGAACTTGCTAGAGACTGAGTGGGGATCAGAACAGGTGGATCTACTGAAATATGCTGCTGAGGGGAGCAGCGGGGAGACAGGAGAGGTCTGCTGCGCCCTAGGGGTCCCTCCCTGGCTGGGGATCGAACTCGTGCTGCAGGGGCTGCTGATTGCTTCATAGTGCCGAGACCTAACTCCTTGTGCTACCAGGGAGGACTTAACAGGAATTTTAGATGGATGGATAGACATACCTTGGTCCTGATTCAAGGTCAATGCCAATTCTAACCTGACTCTTACTCACACACTGCCGCCCCTTGTGAGTGGGAGGCAGGGGTAACAGATCCCCACACCTGGTTCCTAGCATGGCCGTGAATGGGGGCGCATCCCTACACATTCTCCACCATGCACGTCAAAACAGGAAAAGGCTGAAACCCTTTGTCATTAAACCTATTATGGTGAATTCAGGGCCTCCCTGTTGTTGCAACGGGTTAAAGCGCAGCACTGGGAAGCTGCCTGCAGCTACTGTAGCAGGAGTGCCCAAACCCTGCCAGGGGTGACCCACATGGCACAGCAGACCTGTCTCCCCACTGCTCCCCTCAGCAGTGTGCTTCACTGATCTGCCTATTCTGCTCCCCACTCTGTCTCTGCTGAATCCCCACCCCCACCCCGTGCCCCTCTGGCCTGTACCCCAGTTCTTGTATGCTTAAATAAATATAAATCTTAAAAAAAATCTATTATGGTGAATTCAGGAAACCAAGACTTAAAGAGAAGGAGGAACTTGCCCAAGACCATCAAATGAGGGACCCAGATCTCCTCACTCCATACTTGCAGTCAACAGGGCTCATTACCTTTTAAAAATGGGGCTCCGAAGACCGAAAAGATCTCATCCCCGTGGTCTGACACCTTGGGCTTCAGTTCTGATGAGAAGCTGGGGCTGTACTGGTACTCATACATGTAGGTGGGGGCTCCAGCATCTGAGAAGACACAGTTCACACACAATTCATCTACCAGAGGCACCCCGGGAGCCATCAGATCTCAGGGCCCTGGGGCACCCATGGAAACTGGGGCACAACGAGGCCTGAGCACACAACAGCAACAGCAGTAGCCACTGCCTGTCTCAGTGCCAGCCCTGTGCAGACACCATGTGGCCTGACAAGCCTCTACCCCTGGTGATCAGCATAATAGAGCAGCAGAGTCTGGGGTAAGCCCTGGGATTGCTGAAGGGTGCATAGCTGGCTGAATGGAGCTAGGATTTGGGCTATGTATTTGATGGATGGATGGATGGATGGATGGGTGGGTGGGTGAGTGGGTGGATGGATAGGTGGATGGATGGGTGGATGGATGGATGGGTGGGTGGGTGGGTGGATGGATGGGTGGGTGGATGGGTGGGTGGGTGGGTGGATGGGTGAATGGATAATGAATGGATGGGTGAATGAATGAATGGATGGATGGATGAATATGGCTGAATAAAAAACAATGAAACCCTGGTGAACCCAGTCAACTTTCATTACAGGGCCGTGGGCCAACTCACCTCCTAACTGCCTTGTCTACTCACGCAGCGCACTAAGACAGCATATCTACAGAGGTTACGCTGCTGTAGCACATTGATCCCTCCCTGGTTCGCATCCTTATGGAGAACACTGCAGCCAACAGGTGTCTTCTGACCTGTATCATGTCCCACCTTCCTCACCTACTCTGAGGAGGAGGATGGGCTCCCAGGGGCTGGCCTGAGGTGCAGATATTTAAACACAACTTGTGCACAAAGGTGACAGGCTGCCACTTGAATCTTGGGAAAACACAAGCTCAGGGTTTCTTCTGTCACCTCACTTATCTCACTTCCTGCTTGGCCAGGGAGGGGGAGGGAGTGGCAAGAAAGACAAGGCCTCTCTCCTTCCTGCCTGCCTGGCTCCTGCCCTCCTCTCCAACCCCAGGACATATCAGGTTTCCTCTGATGACATCACTGGCACTGCCCCTCCTGTTCCTTGGGGGCCAACTTTGGGCCACCCAGCTGGGGGAAACTGGGAGCTTCGCAGAGATCACGGTCCCCACAGATGGGGACTTCTGGGGACAGGCTGGGTCCCGCGTCAGGCTGGTGGAGAACATGTACAACTTCCCCACTTGGATACAATACAAACTTGGGAAAAAGGAAAATGAGCAACAGGATCATTTTAATCCACCACTCAGAGACCCTGCGGCCACTATATCAGCACACAGCTCTCCTGTGTGTATAAGCTGGGATAACAATGCATATATTATGTGGGAAGCCAATCATCATTTCTTCATGTTGTGAAATGCTTGTCCACAAAACAACAGCATTATATGCCACCCCAACAGGAGGGTGTAATGTGCTAAATGGTCTCCCTAACCTGCCCTCCATCATGGCGTCTTTGGTCGAGCGGGAAGTGTTGTTTGGAACAAGCGAACCTTCTGTGCTTCTGCAATTCACTCATGAAGCGGTTGCGTCAAGGTCAAGCACCAATGAGGACCTTAAAACTGACCATTCTGAGCCATTCTTCTCCAGTTCCACTAGTTAATAAGTGAGTTTGCAGTTAGCTCTGGCTTTGGACTCTTGCAGGACGCGTCTAGGATTCGCCCTATGACCACAGCGTCCAGTAAGGAACCCCTAGAGTGGAAGCTGCTGGGTATGCCAGCTTGACCACTGCCTTTGGGATCTGTAGCTCTTGGTCCAAGGCCTTTGACCACTGGGCTTTGGTGAGTGGGCAGCCTGTCACAGTGCCAGGGAATGACTGACCCTTGGGGACAGGCTTCAACCAGTCGGGGTACTTATCCTGTACCTCCTTTAGCGGGACAGTCCCAAGACGAGTCTACCTTTTCTTCCCCAGTGCGCCCCCCGGCTCCGCTGGCCCCTGCGGACACTTGCTTGGCTTCCTTCTCCCCATGTCACTGCTCCTTTCCTGCCCTGAGCTCCTGCCCTCCTTGAGTTCAGGTCCTTGTCTCTCAGTCTGATTCGGGCAGAAACCAAAACAGGATAGCCCCCCCGCCCCAGGCCTTCTGGGATCAGCCTCAGAGGGCTGACCCCCAGCTGTTCCCACGTATCTTTCCCTGCTGGGGGTGGGCAAGACTGACCGGAAGCTGCTGGATGGCCGTCCCTCCCTGCCCACTCTCTTCAACTCACTCCTGTGGTGACGGGCCACCCTCACAGAAGGGACACCAAAGATCAAGTCTGCCATCATTTTCAGGAACAGGTCTTTCTTTTTGACAGGATCGTCTGTCCCTCCTAAGTACTTCTCAGTGGCCGCTGCAGTCAGTTCCTCAGGGACGTTCTGAAAGGGGTCAGGAATAAAAGTGACCGTTTCCTCCCTGCCCCACCTCCGAGACAGACACACCTCCCCCAGCCCGTGAGGAAGACTTGAGTTAATGGGGAGTTTCTCTCCCTGTGAACTCCTGTCCCCGGGTGCTGGGAGGAGAAAGGCGGAGGGGTCGGGGCAGAGACCCCCCAGGCCCAGCCCTCAATCTGCCATTCAAGTGCTCTGTGATGTGAGGTGAGTCCTCACCCCTCTTGGGGTCTCAGCTGGTTCCCATGATTCCCCCAGAGTCTTACAACAATTGAATAGGACTTCCACAGGAGCGATGTGGCCTCCTCCTGGTCCAGCTTGCCTTCTGAGAGTGGGTAACCCATCATCTGTTAAGAAAACAGACAAGCACTTGTGAATCACTGGGACTTATCAGGCAGAATCAACTGACCAGCTGACCAAGTCAGTGAGGAGGTGAAGGGCCCCTCACGGCCATGGGTCTTCCATGAGTTGAGCAAAATCAATGATCCAATGGACGTCTATTGAGAAACTCAAATGTGCAGAGGATAAAGTAAATATTTAGACAAGTGGGCCCAGCCCTTTGCAATTGTCTGTGTGTGTGTGTGTCTGTGTCTATCTATCTGCCAACTGTCTGTATAGCCAATGGTCAGTGAGACAGAGAGGGGAGGTTCATATCAGGCTAGTTCTGAAGCAGATGAACCTCACAAATACCCCTGTCCACCCCAAATGGCCAAGGAAGCCCCAGCCCCCTATTATGATTTTATATTATGGCTTTGGTCCTTGGGTAAGACCCAAGAAGCTTTTCGAGGTGAGGACAGCAGAATTCTGTACCTAATGCCTCCATCTCCCCTCTGCACGGGAAACGCTCTAGCGTTTCCCGTTTAAGTGGCCTCTGGCCACTTAAAGTCATGTGTCCACGCGGCCTCGAGTCCCTCTTTAAAATGCCTGCCTGAGGAAGCGCCACACCACCAGGGGGACTTACCTGCCACGGATGTTGCCCAAACCTGGTGGTAGGCAGATGGCCCTCAAACTCAGCTCTAGAAGGCTGCCTTAGGAAGCCTGTCTCTGCCCTTTGAACTGTAAATTTAACACCCACAACTGGCTCCTCCAGGACCCCAGAAGTGTCTCTTTGAAGAGAAAACATTCAGGGTGGGGAAGGAATGTGCGGGCCACCCTCCACGCTCCCGGCTCCTACTCCCACCTCTGCCCCTGCCATCAAGACGCAAGTCGTTCTCCTGCACACCAAACTCAGGTGGCCTCGTCACTGGACAGACGCACCTGCACCGCCCAACCGCCCCCCCCCGCCACCACCTTAGCACACTGCGGCCTTTAAATCCTCTCCGGCCTTTCGCATCAGGGATGAGAGCGCAGGTCACACTGGACTCTTGCCCGTTGCTGCGGGCCCCTGAATGATCTGCTGTTCTCACCTCAACGCGCACCCAGCTTGCTTCAGCTCTGGCGGAAGGGAAAGCCCTTGCTAACTGTGAGGCATCAGTTGTAGCTCAAGGGGAAATGCATTTCTCTGAATCTGTCCACTTAGATGACTAAGGAAGAGAATTTATGGAGAAACTGAAAATCCCAGGTGTGGGGGGCGAGGCTGCTGGCAGGGCCCGAGGCCTCTCTCCTCGCTGCAGCACCTCCTTTCAAGGCCTTGGCTCCCCCATCTGCACCAGGAGTGTCTCCCAGCCCCTGCGTGCCAGGATCTTGGATTGGAAGACCACCAGAGAGGCCTCCTGGCCCACACCACCCAGGCGCCCCCTGGGGTCCCAGAGAAGGTTGCCATGGAAATGCCAGTCTGTGCTAACAGCACAGGAGACAACTGCCCTGGGCCTGGAGGGGCTCTGGGAAGGGAGGAACTCCAGGCAGAAGCGGGAGGGGCGGAGGGGCGGGCAGGGCCCTTGGCACTCGCTCACCATGGGCAGGAGCCAGCCAAACTCGTCCTTGTTGATTCCGACCATGTAGGGAACGGTGTTCAGGCTCTTTTCGGCCAGCATCTCGTCCGGGGTCTTGGGCAGCAGCACGCCGTCCACCACAGTGGGCAGGAAGGGTTGGCTCTGGGAAAAGGCCAGCCTGCTGTCTGTGCTTCCTGTCAGACACCCACCGTGCCTCCCCAGCCACCCCGGTGGGACTGCAGGCCTGTGTGGCCGGGGCAGTGGCCACCCAATTCAGGGGCCTAAAAAAGGCAGCTAAGCCTTTGTGACCCTGAAAGGTAGACGTTTGCCGAGGGGCAAGCAGCAGTAAGTTGAGGGGTAAGCGGGAAGGCCAACAGGACAGGATGCTGAGGCGCGCGAGGCGAAGTCCTCAGTATCCAGCCAGGGGGCAGGATGGGAGGGAAGGAGAGATGGGAGGGGATCCCCTTACTGAGGGCCCTGCAAATAGTGGGGCTGCAACGCTAATCTGTCCTGCAGCTTCCCAGGGGATTTGGGCTCCTTCCTGCATGTTCCCTCTCCAGCTATCTCCACCTCCACATGGTGGAAGTTTCTATTCCCGCCTTCTCCTCCAGGGGCACTTTGGGGAGCAAGAGATGTAAGCAAGATGGGGGAGGCAGCGTGGGGACTGGAGCCAGGGACTCAGCATGGATGAGTGGGAGCCCTGCACTAGGAATCAGGGGCGTGAGCGCCAGAACCACACTTGGCCCCTGGCTGTGTCCCCCAGGCCAGTCGCCGCCATATCCGGGCCCCGGCAGTATAAACATAAGGAGACCACAGCAGATTTCACTCACATACTTAACTGCAGCTTAAAGGAATCAAGATTTAGAACCTGTAATCAAGAAGTCAAAGGTGCTTACCTCCTTGGGGTCTCCAAGTAAATCAAGAGAGAAAAATTTCTGTGAAGACAAGGAGAGAATGTAGGTGAGAAAGCCCCCGGGGTGGTGGTGGGGGAAGCTGATGTTTGTGAGCTGCAAGCACACTGCCAAAAGTATCAGGTGTGGGGTGTCAGGTTCTCCTCCCTGGTGCCGACCTGGCTGGGTCAGGAGGAAGTGGGCAGGACACTGGCTCCCCTGGGCAGGGGCACATGGGGTGTGTGGGGGGAGCAGGGGGTGAGGGGGTGGGAGCACTGAGAGCTGTGTGTTGTGCCTGCCCTGTCCTCCATCTGTCTCTTCCTTGTTACCCCAGGCAACAACACCCCAATTTTCCTTTGGAGTACCTCCTGCTTCCCCATTCTCATTCTATGAGTCCAGGCTTCTTTATATGTGACCTGGGTGCTTCCTTTCCTGGCATAGAGATTGGTTCAGGGAGGAATGCGTGCCCACGTCAGTCCAGTAGGGCTTACCGCAATACTTGCTGGGATTACTGAGGACAGGGTTTTACACAGGGTCTAAGTCTAGAAAGCTGTTGTTGTCTGTGACCTCCCAGGAGGCAAACCTCCTATGAGTGAAGTTAACACAGATGGATAGATGGCTGGCTGGATGATGTCTGGATGGATGGATGGCTGGCTGGATGGATGGATGGCTGGATGGATGGATGATGGATGATGGATGATGGCTGGCTGGCTGGCTGGATGGATGGATGATGGATGATGGGTGGATGGCTGGATGGCTGGCTGGGTGGGTGAGTGGATGGATGGATGATGGGTGGATGGGTGGCTGGTTGGCTGGCTGGCTGGCTGGATGATGGGTGGATGGATGGAGGCTGGATGGATGGGTGATGGATGATGGGTGGATGGCTGGATGGAGGGATGGGTGAATGGGTGGATGGGTGGATGGGTGGATGGATGG